TCTCAGATATTGAAGTCCTCAAACGATGGTTTAAAGACCCCAAGATGCAGAGAATCCTCCCGCAAGTGACCCATGCCCAAAAACCTCCAGGGCCTCAGCCAATCTACCCTGGAGGAAAATTCCTTCCTGACCCCAAATATGGCGATCAGCTGAATCCTGAGCATGTGGGCAAGACTCACTAACCAGACACCCAGAAAAAAGTAACTCCTATCTTCCCACCATTGGCCTATTTACCACTGATAGTAAAAGGTCAATTAATTGCCAAGATCATGTTATCTCATCATTCATCCCCTTCATAAACCCATCTAGCTTAATCTTGAAGCCAGATAGGTCTTTTGCCCCCACTACTTCCCTTGGAAGGCTGTTCCAGAACTTCACTCCTCTGATGGTTAGAAACCTTCGCCTAATTTCGAGTCTAAACTTCCTAATAGCCAGCTTATATCCATTTGTTCTTGTGTCCACACTGGTATCTTCATTTAGCTTGAACAGTTGCCCTTTGTGTATGACAAAAACAAAGGAGAAAAACAGCTTCCCATTTCAAATTTCCTAAGCTCAAAAAACCTACTCACTTGTTTCATTCGATCAAAATCTAAGGCATCCATAGCCACGTCATTGCTGCTGCTCACGGGCTTCATCCTTGAGAAATGGAAACAAAGGATAAAGAAGCAAATCAATTCTCTGCAATGGTTACTAAGCCAGGTGGTTTTTGGTAGAGTCGTTATGGTTAAAGCATGTTAATAGTCTCTTGCGGCACAACACCCACCCACGCAGCACTTCTCAACCGGGGTCCCCAGCCCACTAGGACCTCGGGTGGATTTCAGGGATTGTGGGGCCCTGCACCTAAAATGCAGGGCTGAAACTGGGAGCAGAACCACAGGGAGCCCCAACCCCTAGTGGATCTGAAGCCAGGAGCAGAGCCAAGTGGTTATAGCTGGGTGCCCGAGTCCCAGTAGATCTGAAGCCTGTTGTGGGACTGAAGCTGGGAATGGAGCCCCAGGGCTGAAGCCCTGAGCCGGGGCTTCCCCCCTCCCCTGCAGAGCTGAAACCAGGAGTGGTTCCTGGTCTAAAGCTCTGAGCTCTGGTGCCCCCACAGGGCAGAAGCCCCAGTTTGCCTGGCTGAAGTGCAGAGCACCAAGCCCCCTCCTGCAACAGAGGGGCACTGGAGTTTTTATAGCATACAGGGCAGGGGAGGGCATCAAAGAAAAAGATTGAAAACCCTGACCAAGATGAAATCCCAACACTCAGCTCTGGAGTAGGTTCACTTTTCACCTGTTCCACTACTCCCTCTTGTGGCATGCTGGAGTATTGGCAGCAAGCATGTCTTGCGAAGCAAGCGACACTATACTGTACTGAGAGCGCAGACTGCAGCTGATCACTACCATACAGCAAACGGTCTTGTTTTCTAATCTTCAAATGCAGCAGAGAGGCTGAGGTTTGAGTTAAATCACAAGACTTTGTCCAAAGAGTTCTGGTCACTAATATTACATTCTAGATAGTTCTGTGGCTACTTTAAAGTGCGTTCTTTATGGCTGTTAATTATTTACAGTGACAAGGCGTGTGAGATAAATATCTTTTATTGGACCAACTTAACTTGGTGAAAGAGACAAGCGTTTCAGCTTACACAGAGCTCCTTTCAGAGCTGGGAAACCTATTTGGTGTTCAGGCCTGAAAAAAAGCTTTGTGAAAGCTCAGAAGTTTGTCTCCCTAGAATTTGGTCCAGTATAAGATGTTCCCTCACTCACCTTGTCTAATCATTCAAACTTGCAAATGAAGCCCAGGATTTAAATATCCCGGGCTTCATTTGCATGTTCCCGGGCGCCGCCATTTTTAAATGCCCGGTAGCTCGAACTACCTGCCCGCGGCTACAGGCAGCATGGGCTAGGTAGTTCGAATTAACACTCTTAATTTGAACTACCGTTACTCCTCCTACTCCTGCAATGAGGAGTAACAGTAGTTCAAATTAAGAGTGTTAATTCGAACTACCTAGCCCATGCTGCCTGTAGCCGCGGGCAGGTAGTTCGAGCTACCGGGCATTTAAAAATGGCGGCGCCCGGGAACATGCAAATGAAGCCCGGGATATTTAAATCCTGGGCTTCATTTGCAAGTTTGAATGATTACATTAGCCACCCTCGTTCGAACTAGGGTGGCTAGTGTAGCCATACCCTAATAGCCTTGGACCATCGAGCTACAACAAACAGCACTGTGTAGTTAGTATCCGAGGTGCTGGAGGTTTGCAGGACCAATGGCTGACTCAAACATTTGAAAATGAAGTCTTCGTCTTCCCTCCACTACTAAAACAATGGTAAACCCCCCAAAAAGTGATGTTTGCTCCACTTAACCATTTTACTGAATAGAGTCAGCAATCCATCCCATTGCTAAACCCAGCCTTAGGCAGGCTGAGCAGGAAGGCTGCAGCCACACAAGCTGTGTTTCTTGGCCCAGAATCCCAGACTTCAGGTTTGTATTACTACACCTGAGCCCTCTCTCTTTTTTATCGCCAAGGGCACCACAGCGTGTGTCACTGAGAATGCTGGCGTTTCAAGAAGCTTTCTTTGTTAAAATAGCCAGCAGAGGCTATGAACCTTTTTTTGAAATCTGTGACTACAAAGTGTTTTAGAAAGAGATCAAATGGCCTATGCCCAATGAGAACAGTGCCGCTACCATCTTTCGGCACAAGATCTCTCTGAGGCCAGCCTTGCATTGATTCCAGTGGGACTTTAGCGCAAAAAAGAGCTGCACAACCAAGCCCTTCGTGTTTCCTCAATCCTGATCCTTATGCTGCTCAAATGAGGTATCAGAAAGGTGATGAGTAGGGGTTTCTGAAGGGACTTAGTGGTGGTTTAACTGTGGTTGCGATCAAACTCCCACTGACTTCAATGGGAGCAGAGCAAGGCCAACAGGGAGTGCTTTTGGAAATCCCTCCCCCAAAGTGTGTGAGTAAGAGAACAAGCAGAGTACTAGTCTTCTGCTAGAACTTGAACGGAACATGAATGCGCTTCCCAGTGAACGGCCTCCAAACAGCAGTGGTCTTAAAGCAGTTACCACGTGAAAACAAGCTTCAGCTCAGCATTTGCAAGGACAGGGAATACTCTGATCATCTGTATCTAATGGCAACTGGCACATCTTTAAAGACATTGTGTGGTGGATCTGGCATAGGCCCAAGCAGCCAAATTTTGATTTTCGTTACACCTGTAACGATTTCGTTACACCTGCAAACCCACTGAATGAAATGGGGTGCAGGATTTGACCCTGCTCTTTAATACAGTACCCACAGACATCTGCCATCACCCACTTGTATTTTTCTATATGTTAACAACACCGTAGCACAAAGGAACAGTGTCAAATAAGGAAAAGTGTTTGTTACAAGCACTTATGTCCCACCTCCAACCCCTAACTTGTCCCAACACCACTCAGGGCTCTATAGGATAGCCACATTGTGGTATGGACTGACTGGAAAAGCAGCTTCTTTCTCACTTTCCAATGTCACACTTGAACCTTTCAATATCTGCAACCAACAGCATATTGTGCTTGTAATTTGGATAGACAAGCTTTGTTGGACTCCTCCCTTTGATTTTCCCACCTACCAATAGCAGACCATTCCTATGTCCTCTTTTGCTGGGTGCCCTCTCTAGAAGCTCCGAGGCTGCACTCCACTTCATTCTTTCTTCCCCACTCCTTGCTGCACATGCTCCTTATTAGAAAAATAATTTCTCCTCTGCTGGGTACAGATTCCTAGATGGGTTCTGCTTGTGAGTGTCCTCGGACACTGGGCAACACATGCTATTCCTGGCAGGAAGGATCACCCTGCAAGACTTGTTGAGGAGGGGTCAACAAGACCTAGCTGGCTGCTAGGTAACAAAGAGACCCATCAGGCCAGCCTTTGTCTTCCCTGTGGTACAATGTGCTCCCCATTCACTCAGAGAACAAGAGACAGGGCCCCAATTTAGGAAAGCACATAAATATCACTTAATCTGAAGCATGTACTTAAGTCCCATTGACTTCAATGATATGTTTGTTTGAATGCTGGCCAAGGGGTAGAAATCACAGGGCAGTTTCATGGCACTACCCCTCACTCCCTGAGTCAAACTTCCTTTGATATCAGGTGTGGCAAATTCACACACAGCTCACTCATAACCAGACTCTGGCTCAGTTGGTAAAGCAGCAGACGACAGCAAATCACAACAGGCGGAGGAAAGACACGACAAGGACAAATGAATGTTAGTTGCTGCACTAACAATGACACAATTTCCCAAAGGACAAGCTGTGACAGTTAAGGCAGATCATTTTTCAGTACCTAGAAGGTAGTTGGGATTGTATGGGGCTCTTAGCTTCAGGACTCTTCACTGATGAATTTCTATGGCAATTGAATGAAATAAAACATGAATT